TATGAGGCAGTTTGGGTTATAAACTCAAATATAAATGACTAAAATGTACCTATTCCTAAACGAAATAGATCCTCATAGCCTCAAATATAAATGACTAAAATTTACCTATTCCAAAACGAAATAGATTCTCATAGCCTCAAATATAAATGACTAAAATTTACCTATTCCTAAACGAAATAGATCCTCATAGTCTCAAATATAAATGACTAAAATTTACCTATTCCAAAACGAAATAGATTCTCATAGCCTCAAATATAAATGACTAAAATTTACATATCCCTAAACGAAATAGATCCTCATAGCCTCAAATATAAATGACTAAACTTTACCTATTCCAAAACGAAATAGATTCTTATAAACTCACATATAAATGACTAAAATTTACCTATTCATAAACGAAATAGATCCTCATAGCCTCAAATATAAATGACTAAAATTTACCTATTCTCAAACCAAAAATATTCTTATAGACTCAAATGTAAATGACTAAAATTTACCTATTCCAAAACGAAATAGATTTTTTTATAGACTCAAATATAAGTGACTAAAATTTACCTATTCCCAAACCAAATAAATTCTTATCGCCTCAAATATAAATGACCAAATTTGCCTATTCTTAAACCAAGAAAGTTCTTATAGACTCAATTATAAATGATCACCACTTATCTAGACTCAGATAAATATTCAATGTTTATATTTGTCTCGGAACTAAAATAATTATCATAAAGTTAAATATTAAAAAAAGAATGACTTCAACATTTAATCCCCAACAGGATTTTATATATCACATATTATTTTTCAAATATTATTAGGATTTGCATTAAAGACATTGGAATGCGATATTTATGCTTAGAATGATATAAAAAAAACAATACAAATTCATTAAAATGTGCACCTGTGTTTTATAGATTATGCAAAAGCATTTGATAAAATGCGTCATAAAGAATTCTTAGAACTGCGAGGCAACTTTCACTTTTAGGAAGGATATTAGGAAAATCCCGAAGATATACTAGCGGCAATCTGCCTATAAACGGGTAGGAAATTCATTAAATATGCAAAAATGTAAATGGCTGTAAGGTAAGGATTTGTCTTCTTATACAGTGAAGTGATTGGGAGGATTAGAAATCCTAGCACGATTCATTATTGGTGGATAAAAACCTAACAACATAAGTGTTTATGGCAGACACGGGAAGAAAACTACAAAAAAAAAAAAAAAAAAAAAAAAAACAAACAAACAAAACAAAAACAAACAATCTACAGAAGGTAGTGAAGGAAAGAGGGAAGAAAGGACTAACCATCAACTCAAGGAGACGGAATGCATGGTTGTTAGCAAAAGGATAAAGCCAAAGTGTCAATTGAAAATTGGAGATACCAAATTCTAACTAATAAAACAATTTAAATATCTGTGAAGACGAAAAATGTCACATTGAAATCGGAAGGCGCATTAGAATAGCGAAAATGCTTTCTAAAAGCTAAGCAAATTATTAAGAAACCGAAACATTTCGTTAGAAACAAAGTAAAATATTACTGCACTGTTATGCAATATATATATATATATATATATATATATATATATATATATATATAATATATATGTACATGCATATATATAATATATATATGTAAGCAAATATATGGATATAAATCCGAGTATGAAGAAAAATATATACGGAAAAAACAAACAAAAATCCTTATATACAATATATTTGTTTTAATGTTAATATGTCAATGTCGGACGTTTCGGTCTAATAAACCATCTTCAGGACATATTAATGAATTATAACATTATCAATACTGTTTGACAAAGTCTTGTTCTTATGTAAATCGTCTTTGTCATGTTGTATTGATAATGTTATAATTTATGATTATGTCCTGAAGATGGTTTATTAGACCGAAACGTCCGACGTTGACATATTAACATTAAAACAGCATAATTGTATATAAGGATTTTTGTTTGTTTTTTCCGTATATATTTTTCTTTCATATATATATATATATATATATATCATATATACATACATATATATACACATATATATATAATATACACACACACACACACACACACACACACACACACACACACATATATATATATATATATATATATATATATATATATATATATATATATCCTCTTTATATATATGGGATTTTAAATGTTTGATATTTATATATAAGTTGAATAAGTGATCGTGCACATGAAAATATTTCATATTTTTATTTGTAACATATTATATTAACAAAACGGGAATATATCTACTGTATCAGATTGCATACTAAAAATCTATGCATATAAAACTAAAAAAATATTCCATTGTTAAGAAAATATAGCAATATTTAAATTTTAAGGGGTTTAAAAATAATCGTACAGCAGAACAAAAACAAGTTTTCTCCATTTAATATTTTGTAGCAAAGCCTTTATTAAGTTCAACAGCAACCAATCTCTTTCTGTAGTCTTTGATTAACAATTCGCATACTTTAGTAGGTATTTTGTCCCATTCTTCAGGTTTTTGATATTTGTTGGACCTCTATCATGGATCTTATTTTTCAGAAACCGCCATAAATTCTCTATTGGATTCAAACTCGGCGACTGATTGGGTCATTGTAAGATGTTAACGTTGTTATTAGCAAGCCAATACTTCGTACTCTTAGCAGTATGCTTGGGATCATTGTGCTGCTGGAAGATCTAATCAGGAGGAAGCCCAAGATTCTCTATAGAAAGCGATAGATTTTCGCTTAGGACTTGTTGATATTTTCCTGCGTTCATTCTCCCGTCTATAATTGCTAAGTTTGTCAACACCTCGCATCGAAAAACAGCCCCAAACCATGATACCACCCCCACCAAATTTGACATTTGGTATGATGTTCTTGGGTGCGTATGCTTCGCCGTCTTTCCTCCATACATGATTCAGGGAGTTGCGACCGAACAACGCAATTTTACTCTCATCTGTCCAAAGAACTCTTTCCCAATAAGAATTTTTCTTATCTTTATGCTCTGTCACAAATTTCAACCTGGCATCTCTATGAGTGGTGTCTTTCTTGGAGAGCGCGACTTTACACCGTCTCTGTGTAGTTCATTACTAATCGTTTGCTTAGTTACGTTAACTCCTGACAAACTCAGATCATTCTGAAGGTCATGTCTGATGACTATTGGGTTATTTTGGACCTGTCGCATCAACTTTCTTCATAATCTGGGAGAAATCTTCCTTGGAGCACTGTGTCTGCCTTTGTTCTCAACAGTATTACGCCATTTAAATCTTGTAATAAATAAACCAATTGTTGAAAAAAGGTATGTTCATGTCACTGGAGATAGTTTCTGTAACTTTTCCATTGTTCCATAGCTTAATAATTAGCTCTTTTTGAGCACAAGTCATTTCATTACGTCTAGCCATTATTAGAACCGTTAACAGTGAACAGTGACTGCAGAATGATCCAATTTTGAACTGAATGTTGCAATAGAGTTACTGAGAATATTCTAGAACAGTTTAGAATCTTCTACTTTGAAGTACAACCAAAATCTACCATATTATAATGCAAAAATTGATACTGTACCCACACTTTTTCCACTATTCGAAATATAAAAATTTGAATATCACTTATCGATGAATTTCTAATTTTAAATTTCAGATTCTGATTCTATGCCCCAATATATATATATATATATATATATATATATATATATATATATATATATTCGCATTCGCTATATGTGAGAATAACAAGCATTTGTTTGCTGTACGATAGCTTATTCAACCCCACTGTATATATATTGTTACCTTATTTATATGTGGCAGTGAATGATGGATAATCCGGAACAACGGAAATGTGACTCTACAGAAGGATGTTGAGAATACTATGGACCAAACATGTAGGCAACGACAAAGTTTTAGAGAAAATGAAAAGAAATAGGACACTTACACTTAACACCAGAAAGAGACAGTTGAAATTTCTGGCGAACATAATGAAGAAAGAGGGTTTGGAAAATTTGATACTCACAGGACAGACTGAAATCGAGAGGGACAGAGAAAAACAGCGCATAACTTCAGTAGAAAACTTCATTAATTGAATGGCGGAGCAAGATTTAGGAGCGATAAAAAATGGAACTTTTTAAGGATCTGCAAAGGGCAGAAAATTGTGGAGAGGCATAATCTCTTCCACCCTGAATTAACACGGCACCTCGAAGAAGAATTTATTTACTTGTCACATGATTTATAATTTTCTCGGAGGAAAATCATGATTAGTGCTAGTCAACGTAAGAAAATATCTTTGATTGACTGTTCTGTAAATTTATTTTCCGTTTATATAAATTATAGTTAGAAAAATACGCTGCAAATGGTATCCGTCAGACAAGTAAGGCCAGACAGCTGTCTATTAAAATATATTTTTTGTCAGTTTGCTATTTAAATCTATACTGCTGAGAAATAAATTACTTTGAAAAATGTGAAAAATTAACAATTATTACGAAATTAAAATATTTTGAAACGAAATTGGCTCCACATCGAAATGTAATGAACAGAAAGCTAATATTAGTTCGAGCTTCGATCCAGGCTTTATTTCAAGATGTTTGTGATCGTTGAATCTGGTAGATCGGAGATAAATCCTTGAATACCGAATTAAGCTTTGAATGATTAGTCTTGAGGGTGTATTTCTGGCTTGAGAATGGCTCATTGTGCAGACAACATTGAACAGTTATTTTCAGAATAAAATCGAAGAAACTTTAACGTGTACTTTTCTGAGTTAAACACTGAAAAACCTTTCAGATTCTCATTAAACACCTGTAACCGGGGTAGTGTGGAGTGATTTACGGCTACATCACGTTGAAATACTGCTTCTCGTACGATCACCAAAGGCTAACCTGATTATTTAATGTCTTCTAGAGCAACAAAAAAAAACAAGAAATTAAAAGTTAGTCCAGTTTACACTAGAGTAAAAAAAAGTTAAACATTGGACCAGTTTATATTAGAGTGAAACATGTTGACAGAAGTCACGTTGCCTAACAGCCACATCAGGTTGAAATCCCATTTCCCGTGCGATCACCGAAGTTAAGCAGCGTCGAGCCTGGTCAGTACCTAGATGGGTACCGCTTGGATATCTCAGGTGCTGCAAGCATGGATGTGCGGGTGGTGTAATGGGTAATAGCACAGAATCATTAATCGGAAAGCCGAGTTCCAATTCCAGTTGGGTATGTTATATTCATCTATGCTCAAATAATCTTGGGAAAGGTAAAAATCTACCGCTTCTCTCCCCAGCTATGGGTTACTTAGCTTAGACTAGTATCATTAAACCATTATTATCTAAAAAAAAAAAAATCTTAAAGTCTAAAAATATTCCCTGGCTTTAAATAACTTACAAAGTATAGATAAGCCCTAGAAAACGAATCAATCAATTATATGGAAATATTCTCTTACTATCACCGAAGTTAAGCAGCGTCGAGCCTGGTCAGTAGCTAGATGGGTGACCGCTTGAGAATACCATATGCTTGGATATGCGGGTGGTGTAATGGATAATGGCACAGAATTGTTAATCGAAGATCTGAGTTCTAATTCTAGTTGGGTTCGTTATATTCACTTACGCGCAAATACCATTGGGAAATATATGAATTCAACTCTTCTCCCCAGCTATGGGTTAATTAGTAAACTTGTATCGCTAAATCATTATTAAAAAATCTTAAAATCTGAAAGAAATATTTTCTGCAAAATGTTGTTAATATATTGAATCAATAGCTTCATCTACCACAAGGAAAGATGGCTCTCTGTGTCGTGACAGAAAGTTCTTCTCGTCTGAGTCCAGCCTTCAAATCTATAAATCAATCAGCATGGAATATTCCTGTCATATATGATCTGGTGATTCCGCTGTAGATCTCGAGGTCCTTGACAAAATCCAGAGACGAATATGCAAGATGATAGGCCCTGATCTGGCATCTAGTCTGCAATCGCTATCCCAAAGACGTGCTGTAGCCTCCCTCTGTCTCTTCTACAAATATTTTCACGGCAACTTTTCCGGCGAGCTACTTTCGCTGGTTCCCGGACTTAAACCTGCTCCCAGGCTGGCATCTTGGTCCCACCCTTTCACTGTCAAAACGGTTAGATGTAACCGCCTCTCCTTCTCAAACAGCTTCTTCTCCCGCACTTCCCGTCCGTAGAACTCCCTTCCTCTTACTTGCTTCTCCGATAACTGTAATCTTCAAATATTCAATCGACATCTGACACCCTGAGCTTGTTCCCCGTCCTTCTCTGTAACCTTTCCTCAAACACGCCTCTTTACTCTTGTTCTCAATCCTCTGTAACCCCTTGCGTGCTAGTGGCACTCCCGCCTTGCTTGGGGTGAATTACCTTAAAAAAAGCTGTAGAAATCAATCATTATGTAACCAGGAAGAAATAAAATGTATTAAAATGAATGAGATAACATAATAAAGCACATTATAATTGTTATGGTCCAAGTTCCTTGTACCACGGTGATGGTCCAAGGTTAGAACCAATGAAAGAATAACACGAACACAGGTATGGAATACAAAGATATATTACAACAGAAATATAAAAGAAGTAGAAGTATTAGTAATGACTATCAGATTTGGTTAGAGTGAACTATGTTGTCTCGACAAGTATCACTATTCCAATATCCTTACAATATGCTCTCAATTATCGCTCCTCGTTTTACAATCTCCTGATACCTCTTGAGTGGCGCAGTATTTATAATGTCAGGAATAGTCCATTATTATTATGGGTAAGTTCCCATAACAATAATTTTAAAAGATACTATTTAATGTATATCCAACTGTAAAAAAATTGGTAAAAAATATTCCTAAACTATAATTATGATGAGATTTATCTGCCAATCAAGTATTACCTTTAAATTCATAAAGTCTTGCTACAGAAGAGGAAAAGTATATCAGAACAATTGCCATGAAATTATTTATAGAAAATTCACAGTAAATCTACGTTATGCCGGTAGAAAAGTGACGGAAGCCGAGATGTTAGGTCAGGACCAATAACATTGCTGATTCTTCTTTGGATTTTATCAAGAATCTCTAAATGCATAGCAGGTGCACCAGAGTAGATGTGGCAACAATATTCAATGCTAGAATCTGGCGAGAAAAACTGTGTCTAGAAGAACACAATGAACGGACTTCTCGAACAGCATTCCTAGCAATTGATTCAATATAATCTTTCCACTTCATGTCAGCGTTAAAGTTAGAAAGATATAGATATTTACTGAGGCTTGCTTAGTAGGGTACAAAATAAAAAAAGGGATAATATGAAGACGTTGTTACGCCAGTCATCTGAGACTTGCTTATGTTATAAATTAGTGTTTGAACACTTGACTACATTTTTTTTTGTCTGGCCGTTGGTACCAGAAGGAAATCCACAGCTCTCTCAATATATTGTCTTGTGTATGATACAACCCTGTGTTGCTGAAGTTAAAAAAACAGGGGACAATTTACGTCAGTGAGTCTAATACACAGAGAGCCAGACCTCCGAGTCTAGCTGCGTCGTGATACAGTCTTTGACTATAAGCGACGTCTGTCGAACTCTTTGCCGAAGGGCAAGGTTTCGTCCGGTGAGGTAGACAGGGCCTGAACCCGTCTAGGCTATATTTTTGGCCGAGCCTACGAGATACCCACATTAAACCGGCCTTGTGCCATATTCAATCCTCGTGTGTGGGTCAATAAATACCGAGTCTAATACACCACGGTAGTACAACCATACCTACGTGTTTTTTAAAAATGTTTTACGATATTATCCATTAAAGTCTCAATGTTTTACACATATTTCACTAAAATATTTAATTTTTCAAAAAATTAAAGAATAGAAATAAACCGGATGTTCAGCCATTACACGTTTTTCCTAATTTCCGTTCCAAAACTTATTTTCAAATTTTCAGGGTAAGGTGCTAACTAGGCATACTCGATAATACATTCTAAAGTGTTTATTAATTGTTAAGGGGTCCACCCGTTTTTCATACAAGTAGACTCGCCAGGTGTGTACTTGTACAGCTGCCGGTGAATACCCAAGAGACTAGAGTCGGAAGTGATACAGTTACAGTAATACCGGAAGTAAGAGAGTGAGAGTGTGAGGTTACCGCTTTGTAGGGGTCACAGTTGCGAGCACGTAGACTCAGAAGGAAGTCATACTTCGATACTAAATTTTCCAGACTGTATATATATTATTATTGCTACTAACCTCATTTCTGGATCTACTAACCGTATTACCAATTGTATTATTACGTCGATACATTTATTTGCTATATTTCATTCCTGCGTTTGTCATTCATTTGAGAAAGGATTTCATCCCGGAATCCACAACATTAATCTGTCATACTTTTCGCTTGTATCTATTGGGCCATGTGTCATTGGTCCAGTAGATAAAAGCGTTGGTTGAGTAATCCAAATAAGTGACTTGACCCAAAGAAGTTAAATACCTGTCCACAGCTGAGGGAATTAACTAAAACTGAGATATCTATAATATATATCCATGGCAGGTGAACTAAATAAAGGGTTCGGTTCTAAATTCCAACGTATATCACCCGAAGCGTAAAACGGCCGAAACGTCGTGAATATGGCAATAAAGATGAGGACAACAGTCCGAACGACGTAAATTGTGTAAAAACTATACCTTGTGGGCAAAACTGAGTGTAATTTTCAATATTGCATTATTGCAAATAAAAGCCTTTTAAGCTGAGGAAAATTTCTCGAAAGCGTGTACGTGTGTATAATACGGCGGCCATTTTTGCATTTAATTTTCGTACAAAATTTATCGCAAAAGGAAATATGCTAAGTACGCCACACGCTCACAACAAAAGTGATTAAGTGAAGCAGTTTTTCTTTCCACATTTGTGATAATCGTCTGCAAGTTTAGCTTCTGTTTATCGCTTTTAAACCACGCCGATCTTTTCTGCTGTTCCGACGCATCAACTAGCTTTGACGGTGAGTAAGCAAGCGGGACCATGTTACAAGAGTGCTAAGCGTCCGCGTCGGTTAAGGAACCCGGAAATGGCTTTCTTTGAATTGAATCCTCAGAAAGAATGCGAAAATAAAAAATACGAACCGGTTTATTCTTCGATATTGTGCCGAGCTGCATGGCGATAAATGCCAATTAGTGAGTCAGCATTATTCCTTGTCGATTTATGCGGAAAGAAGCATTTGCATTGAACATGTAGGACACGTGAATGAACGGGCACATTATCTGTCTTCGAAAATCTGTTCATATCTATGCTTGCCACCCAGGAGAGTCTGTCCCTATCTATCTATCTATCTATCTATCTATCTATCTATCTATCTATCTATCTATCTCATTCTGTCCTATCTATTCTGTCCTATCTATCTCTATCTATCTATCTATCTATCTATCTATCTATCTATCTATCTATCTATCTATCTATCTATCTATCTCATTCTGTCCCTATCTATCTATCTATCTATCTATCTATCTATCTATCTATCTATCTATCTCATTCTCTTCCCTATCTAACAGTATATTCATAACTATATCTATCTATCATCATCTATCTATCTATCTATCTATCTATCTATCTCATTCTCTTCATATCTAACAGTATATTCATAACTATATCAGTCTGTTCATCCATCTATCTATCTATCTATCTATCTATCTATCTCTATCATCCTATCTCTCTATCTATCTATCTATCATCTATCTATCCATCTTATATCAGTCTGTTCATCTATCTATCTATCTATCTATCTATCTATCTATCTATCTATCTATCTATCTATCTATCTATCTATCTCATCATTCTGTTCCTATCTATCTATCTATCTATCTATCTATCTATCTATCTATCTATCTATCTATCTATCCATCTATCTATCTATCTATCATCTATCTCTCCATTCTCTTCATATCTAACAGTATATTCATAACTATATCAGTCTGTTCATCTATCTATCTCCATCTATCTCTATCTATCTATCTATCTATCTATCATTCTCTTCATATCTAACAGTATATTCATCCCTATATCATCTGTTCATCTATCTATCTATCTATCTATCTATCTATCTATCTATCTATTCTCTTCATATCTCATTCTATTCATATCTATATCATCTGTTCATCTATCTATCTATCTATCTATCTATCTATCTATCTATCTATCTATCTATCTCATTCTCTTCATATCTAACAGTATATTCATAACTATATCATCTGTTCATCTATCTCTATTCATCTATCTATCTATCTATCTATCTATCTATCTATCTCATTCTCTTCACATATCTAACAGTATATTCATAACTATATCATCTATCTATCTATCTATCTATCTATCTATCTATCTATCTCTATCTATCTATCTATCTCATTCTTCATATCTAACAGTATATTCATAACTATATCAGTCTGTTCATCTATCTATCTATCTATCTATCTATCTATCTATCTATCTATCTATCTCATCTCATCTTCATCCTAACAGTATTCATAGTCTGTTCATCTATCTATCTATCTATCTATCTATCTATCTATCTATCTATCTATCTATCTATCTCATTCTCTTCATATCTAACAGTATATTCATAACTATATCCTATCTATCTATCTATCTATCTATCTATCTATCTATCTATCTATCTATCTATCTA